GAACGATAAAGTGTAATCCAGATGACATCATAAAAATTCATCAGCAAAGCACTGCTCAGAACGCAGCAAATTATGGAACACTACTGTTAAGGGTATACTCGGTTATAAACCGCTGTTTCTCCGTGTTGAAAGAATGTCTCGTCATGTTATGCAGATGCTACAAGACAGAAGGAGCTGAACAAGGACATTCGTTATGCATGGTTAGAGGAAGAACAATATGGTTTAACATCAAAACGCGGACTAAATGTCCCTCTTACATAAAAGACTTGGCATTCTGAGCCATATTCGAAATCCATCCCCTAAAGGTTGTCCTTTACACGACACACTGTGACGACTGGAAACTTTTTCTGAAGTAACTTTCTACTGCCTGAAATAAATAACGGGCGTTCAAAATGAGCGACCAATTAAAAACAGGTGCGAGTGAGTGAAATGAAGACTAGAACGAGTGAATGAAGGAAACGAATAGATAGGGAAATGAACGAGCGAACGGATGAACGAATTATGACAAACAGAACCAATACTGACGGAGAAGGGAAGGAGCGTTGAATGAATGACCAAACGAGCGCATGAATGTATACTGCAACAGAAAAAATTGTGACGCACATTAAATGGAAAAATAGCAGTCCCATTGAGAAAGTGAATTGTAACTGCTTAGCAAGAAGATTATCATTAGAGGTAATCTATTTTCTTGAATCTTTTGATATGCCGCTCTTCCGTGACCCATAATTCAGCAACGCGATACTTCTGAAAGACGACCGGGTGCTATTTAAGCAGGGAAAGGCCAGCAGACAATGTGCCACTGCCCGCGGTAGAACATGATCTTAACTGAGTTAGATAGTGAGACGAATCCTATCCCACGAACTCTCAAAGATACCGCTAGATGATGTTCATTGCCGAAGAACAATAGCAAGTCCGGAAAATCGGCCATTGTCGCAGAAGACGACGAAAAGGGCATTCGGGCAAAATCCTTCGATGTGTCTGTATATAAACAAAGTTGTTTATATAGCACAGTCCGTACATTTTCGCTCTGTCTATGCTGTAGTACACAACGATGACAAAAGGTGCAAGTCGTGTAATTGGCAAGTTCATGAGGAGCCTAAATAGCCCCTCTACAAGCTCATGTTGCGCAAAGTTCGAGCATAACAAGGAATCATTTAATTCTTTAAGATTTTATCTGTTACACTGCCATCAGCAAATCAGCTCTGTGCATTATTAGCATGACCATATACAAGAAACAAAAGATTTGATTTTCCGAAAGTCTTTAGGTGAGCTGCTAGCGTTGTAGTTTTAAATATTACTGCTGCCGAAATGACCTGTCCTGCAAATCGAAATATATTATCGTAAATAGCGTTCGGAAAGTGTATTGCTGATAGTGCTTAGTTTGCGTTTACTCGGAGGTTACGTTGTTTTTAAGCATCTGCGTTTAGTTTTCATGTTATAGAATGCAGCTCTTCAGGTCATTTAATCTTGAAATGCATATTTAATTTTCAAACTGAGACCAGGTATGTTCATCCAATTCGTTTTGTTCTTATGCGTTAGCATTTTCACAAGTTCTAAAGTCTCAGCTGTTTTAACGATTAAACTTAATTACGAAAAAACTAGGAAAGTTTGCTTTTGCGCGTAACTTACGGTTTCAGATATTCACTTATGTTGTCTGGTGAGCGTTGTACAGGGCCATGTTTAGTCAGGTGACTACCTGATCGGTGATAGTCATTCAGAGAATGGACGAGGACCACTGAGGATGATGCAGGTCTTAACATCGACCGATTTAGTTTGTTTACTACAGTAAATGGGTACGGATTTTTTTATCACTTCTAAGCAGAGTTTATCCAAGCTGCACGTTGTTTAAGATTCGTGATGTCCGCTTGTTGCACGTATCATATTTTAGATATGCGGTATTTGCTGCGTCCATAAATGAAGGGTTGCCCACAGCCAGCGGGTGTCTATTGTAATTTCTTTAATTAAATGGTGTGAAGGCCAGCGATCGACTTTTGTGCATGTCTGCGTTTACACGTTTGCAGTTGACGAACCACTTGAAATGGGCGGAATAGAAGGCTTATATCGCTGAGATACCGGTTTTCATGACGCTATAAGCAAAGGGATTATGCAGTCATGTTGTGCAAATCTGCAGAAGCGGTGTTAGTATGCTGTGTTCACCAACCGTATCAATATCTAGCTGTTTCTACTCAACCCAGGATGTGGTTCACAGCAGTTTGTATTATAGTCCTGAGGATGAGTGGGTGAATGAGTAAACGTTTATTGCTTGAACGAAATCGGCGAAGAAATCTCTTTTTCAGCAAGGCTTTTCAGCAAGCTGTATGAACGACTGAAAACATTGCATATCGCTAGACAAAATTGCTTTCTGACTCAGGGCAAAAATTTCAGTAAATAAATGGATAAACAAAATAAACGAAAACAAATAGGAGTCTGCAGATGAAATCAGTAAACACGTAAATCTGTTACAGCTAGTGATGAACGGTCACAAACGAATAAGACAAAGAGAAAGTGAAATGTGTCGCAAAAGTCGTCTTTTGCTATGATAGGTTTGAACTTAAAACTTCTCAGCAAGTTTACAGAATGTGAAGCACAAAACAAAAGGATTCACCTAAACAAACGGTAAAGCTGTTTGAACGTCCGAGTATGTCATGTGACGAATGACTCGTCCAAAACTGAATCTCCTGACGTACTGCACCGCTTTCGAGC